CTGGGAAGGAAACAGAGGCCTAGAATGGGCAGGAAGACAGAATAGGTAGCCCCTGTGTCCACAAGGAATGGACTTACTCGCTGCCTGGAGCACTACCCTGGGCTCAGAGAGGGCTGAGGGGGTCTTTGAATCTGGGCTTCTTCAGTCTTCTGCGAACCCCAAAAGTTCAGGAGAAGGGACTGCCTGACTGGTCATACCCCTGCGTAGAGGTGCCGAGGAAGGGCCAGCCATGGGGCAGTCAATCTTCCAATGTCCTGTCTGCTTACAGGTGGGGCATGGCCTGGAAGGAGGCCATGGGTTTGGGCATTGGCGAGCCCAGTGACCTTCCTATCCATATTTGAGGCAAGCCTCTGGTGGAGAGGAATGCTGGTTCCCCTCTGAAACTTTTGCCGGAGATGTAGGCCTCAGGGCTGCTGCCAAGGCCTGGGTTTGGGGTGTTACCTTTTTCTTCTGCAATGGAGCCTGCTTTAAAAGCCATTTTTACCAGATCTCAGATAGGGGTCCAAGGGTCCTCCTTAGCTCATTTGAGTTTTTTTTCTTTTTTTCTGATATCATAGGCCAATTGAGTAATGAAATGGGTTGCTAACACTGTAGCCCTGATGGGAGACTCAAGGTCTAGCTTAGTGTATTTGGTTAGGGCCTCTGTAAGGCAGTTGAGAAATAAGGATGGATTTTCATCAGGATTCTAAGTAATGTCCTTCAATTTATCAAAGTTAACTACCTTATTAGAAACTGCTTGCATGCCTGCTATAAGATATTGGACCATGCGAGCACAGTGACAGTGACCATCTGTTACTTCTGTTCCAGCACAACCAGGAATTAAATCGGACCCTCTTCAACCAGGTGATGCAGTCTTACTTCTAGAGCTACATTCTCAGTCGTTGAAACCTCGCTGGACAGGACCCCATACAGTCATATTTCCACCATGCTGGGGTCCACCAAACTCAAAAGTTTCTCGCCAGCCCTCTCCTGTTACTAATCATTAATCTCTCTCAAGCTTCTATCCCAACCCACAGATGGTGCTTCTACATCCAAGCGGCATGGCAACAGGATGGCACCACCCGCTCTCAGTTTATGGGCCAAGGCGATTGCCCTTTCACTGGCTGTAATTGGGCCCTTAATGTTACTGGATTCAACTAGGCCACCTCATCCCACTTATGTTTAGCAATACTATGCTTCATAGCATATCAAACTGAGGAATCCTGTTGAAGCCATATCACCAGGAGGCTGCCCCACCTGCTGACAACAAGACAACCCCAGAGGAGCTTCAAGAGTCATCTCCTAGACCTCCCCTTTACTCCTGCTCTCCACATCCCAACTATCCTCTAAAGCTTCGCCTGTCCTGCGTAACCACACATACTCCACCATGACTCCCACTCTTCTAATTGGTATTTTCACTGTCATCACCCTTCTCCCAGGGACATCATCGTCCTCCTCTTATACTTGGAGATTCAAAGTTAGAGAGACATATGTCCAAGGCAGCACTCATTATACTTGCCTGGTTTCTTCAGTTGATTGCGCCCCTACAAGATGTAATGCATCTATCTTCCTTCCCCTCTCCTCCCAGAATTCTGAACTTTTAAAAACAGCCACTAGGCCTTACCTTTGCTTCTTATATGATCAGACACAGGATTACTGCAAATGGTGGCCCGAAATCTATGGGGGGTGCCCCTATTGATAATGCAACATTCATAACCCACGTGCATGCGTCGGGGGTTCCTGCGTTGGAAATTTCAGATCGATCTTGGGCGGGCTATCAATTGGCTATCATTGACCCCAACCATTCATGCTGGACCTCTAGGGTAAATGCTTCCTTCTACTGTGACATATCCTCTTCCACCCCCTGTGGCTCCATCTCCGTCTCCCGGGAGCTTCAACCCTCCCAGCCCTCAGTAGCTATAATCTCTACTGACATAAAGCATTCCGAACAGCAGTTGTTAGGCTCCATACCGGGAGTTCACCACAGTATTCATGGCTACGACTACTTGCCGAAACCGTAACCTTCTTAAATCAAACCCTCCCCGCCATTGCACCAACTCATTGCTACTTATGCGCCTCTCTGACTCGACCTTTGCTTGCAGTGGTTCCCTTAAACTTCTCGGCTTCTGACCTCTCAAATTTCTCCACTCCATCTGCCCACCATTCTCTCCGGACCCTTTCACCTGATGCTCCATTATGGGAGCCCGAGGAGTCTAACCATACTGTGATTCCCTGGCTCTGCCTCCTGGGCTTGGGTGTCTCCCAGTCAGAGTTTTGCACTCCAACATCACCTTTAACTTCACCCTCTATGCACCACTTGGCTCATTCTTCTGGTGTAATGGTTTTCTCACCACTATCTTATCCACCAACACCTCCGCCCCATGTATACTGGTAATGCTTGTCCCGCAATTGACTCTCTATGCACCTGATGAAGTACAGGCCCTCTTGTCTCCCCCTGTGCAAAGTAGGTGGGCTGCTTTCCTTCCAGTAATGGTGGGTCTCTCACTGGCTGCATCTGCGGCGGGAGCAGGAATTTCTGGTGGAGCTCTAGGACACTCCTTATGGGCTGTACAGGACTTAAAATTCTAAACTTGAACAAGCGCTCACTTCTACGGCAGAATCTCTAGCATCTTTACAAAGGCAGGTCACATCCTTGGCTCAAGTTACTCTTCAAAACTGACAAGCTGTAGACTTATTCACGGCCAAAAAAGGTGGAACCTGCCTCTTCTTGAGGGAAGAATGCTGTTACTACATCAATGAATCAGGCCTTGTGGAAACTAATGTAGTCAAGCTTACCAACTTGGCTACCTCTTTGAAAAATCCACCAAACCAAAACCCATTTGCCACCTTCCATTTAGCCAACTTCCAATCATGGCTGTTGCCTCTTTTAGGGCCCATATGTCTCCTTTTTCTGATGTGTCTGTTCCTGCCCTGTCTGCTTCGCTTTCTACAGGGCCAATTACAGAATATCTCTAAGCAAACTTTCAACCAGCTTCTGCTTAGGCACTATCAGCCTCTGATGACTGATGAACCCCCGACATCTTCAAGAAAACAGCTCACTCAGTGCTGAAGCTCACTACCAGGCACGATGGAATGCAACGGACATCGGACAGCGGAAGACAACGAGCTGGGAGAACCTCTTAATCTGCCACCCTGGATTCTTGAGTCTTTATGTCCTTTTAAGCCTCCTCATGGCACTTGGCCTCTTCTCTGTCAGTCTCCCAACATGGAACTTCTGCCAAAAACTGATCTTTGCTTTAATCTTTATCTTCATCCTGTTTTTGTTCGCTCTGATCTTCTTCAGGTGCTGGTGACACTATGTCAAGGCAACGCTTCCAATATTTCCTGGAGTCTCTGTTACAGGACCAATGGCTGATACCAACAATCTCCTCCATCCAGGACTGGTTCAATGCCATCGACGACTTGTGGCTTCAGGGAATTTTCATAGACTTCACCCCTACCAAAGTAGCTGTCTATAGCCACTGGGCTTTATTTCTGGTTGCCATGATATCCCCCGACCTGCTCCCCGAACATTCCTCCACTTCCCCTTCTAGGCCCTACGCCACCCCCACACAGCAGGAAGCAGCTGGATCTGAACAATGATGCCCCAGTCCCTAAGAAAACAAAAAGGGAGGAATGTTGGGAAAAGGTATAATGGCAGCCACATCCCCAAAACCCCAACATGGCGTCTGAGGAGCTTCTCTTCCTGCCTCTCCCTTTCCCGCCGGCGCCAATTCTCCCACCAGTGCCAATATTTAAATCCCGCTGACGGGAACCTTAGCCCCAATAAGAACTAACTTCTTGGGCTCCGGAACTGACATCTGGAAGAACTTACCAATAAACAGGTGGCCCGTCATTTACCTAAGCCCTGCCACCTCTCCTTAGATCTATATAAGCCCACAGCCTTTGTAATAAAGTGGAACCTCTCCGGTGATTTGCGTCCTGTGGTGTCTTTCATTTGTAGTGTGGTGTCTTTCAGGTTACAGAGGCCAAGTGGCCAAGCTTGGCAGTGATCTAGAGGCTTGGCCAAGCTCCAGAATGGGGTTTCTAGGGGCTGGTGGGGGACCCCTGGGCTATAGCCCCTCTTGCTGGGAGATTCATCACTTTGCCTTTAGTCACTGAGGCATGCAGGTGCCACGCACACTGCTTGGTCTTTGGGAACTGTGTTTAGCATTTGTGATCTTCACTGGATCCAATCTGTGAAGGCAGGGAAGAGGCACAGGAATTGGGAAGCAAGGCCCTTAGGAAAGTGATTGACTGTGGAACAAAGAAACTTCAGGATCGCACAGCAAGGAACTGGGTACGCTGGGATTTGAAGTTAGAAATGTCTAAATCTTTACACACACACACACACACATACATACACATACACACACACATTCCAGCAAAGATAAATCCATACAACCAGCCTTTGACTGTTATTATTTAGTATCATCTTGAGTAGCAAAGATGTTGACTAATACCATTTAATTGACTTACTTTTCTTACTATTTGAAATTTTCATCTTTATTTATTAAAAAAACATTTAGCTTTACTCCTAACCAAAGGATGAACACAGGAGTCAGCCCTGTTGTTGATCAAGACTATCTGAATCAGCTTGAGAGATAGGGAAACTGAGGCCCAGGGTTGGATGTCTCACCCAGTGAAGAAAAGATGGAGTTTGAACTTGAACACAAACTCTCTGAACCCTAAACTCTGTAACCTAAGCAGATACCCAGGAGCCTTCCACAACCCACAGGAAATGCTACCAGGGGTTGAGCTGAGAGAAAAACGGAGGGACTGGAAATATGAAGAAAGGGGAATGGCCCCTGTAGATTTCCCTGGGTGAATTTGATTCACTTTTATCCAGGTGGGAGATTATAGGTTATGTAACCCCTCCCCTCAATAATGCAGTCTCTTTCCTGATGGTATCCATTCCCAGAAAACTTGAATCTCAGGGTGATCAGATTTCAGAACAAGCTGATCTCTCAGAACCTATTTATGCAGGACCTGGGGCCCAGGACACTATCTAACCTGGCACCATGGAGCTGGGAGGGGCCTTCACCATTTTTCTGGCACTCTGCTTGTCTTGCCTGCTCATCCTCATTGCTTGGAAACGAATCAACAAGAGGGGAAAGCTTCCCCCAGGTCCCACACCAATTCCTTTCTTGGGGAACCTGCTCCAAATCAGCCCTAATGCCCCTTTTCAGTGTTTCATGAAGGTAAGTTTGTTCATTTCCTCTCCTGGGGATAGAAGCAATGAATCCTATAGCCAGATACGTGTAGACCTTATGACTTCTGAAACAGACTCTGAGAGACTGAGAACCTGAGAATTCTGAAATTCCAGGTGCATTGGAATAAAAGTCTCATGATCTCAGGACTTTGGAATCACAGGCTCAGGATTTTGGAATCTTATATCCTTGAACATAAGGACTCTCGTACTTAGATTTTTACTAGTACTTTGAGACTCTGTACCATGAAATCTCAGGCTTCTAGGAATTCAGCATTTCAGAGAGAGAAGTATAGATCTCAGAGTTCATGTAATCCAGCTCCATCATTTTACAGATGAGGAAACTGGCATTTCAGAGTTGAGGATGGTTTGTGCTCAGGATCCCAGGAGTGAAGATTTCCATGCCTTTTCCCAATAGTCTTTCCAAGATTACCTTGATCTGTTGTACCCGTATTTATATCCTCTGAATTCTCCTTCCCCTAAAATCCTTGACTGGTTTCTATGTGTGCTCTAATTGAACCCTCCTCTGGTGTCTTGCTTCACTCCCAGCTCCGGAAGAAGTATGGCCCCATGTTCACTGTGTACCTGGGCCCGCGGCCAGTAGTTATTTTGTGTGGACATGAACTGGTGAAGGAGGCTCTGGTAGACCGAGCAGATGAGTTCAGTGGCCGTGGAGAAATGGCTACATTAGACAAAAACTTCCAAGGTCATGGTAGGTAACTACAATCACCAGAAATTATTACAACGTACTAAGTGTGTTCCAGGTTCTTTGGTAAGTGCTCTACAGGAATTATTGCATTAACTCCTTTGAGAAAGCCATTAATATTAAACTAATTTACAAAAGAAAAAGCACTGGTGAGGAAGATGAGGTAATGTCCCACAGAAGTGCTGGAATCACTTTGCTTTGAAGACATCTGATTCTAACATGATCACTTACTATGTTATTTCAGTTCTTACATTCAATGAATTAGTGTGTGACAATCTTTGTGCACCAGTTGAAGCCTTCATAGCCAACCCTATTTCTTATCTTCATACACATACCTAGCACATAGGTCTCTGACTCTTAGGAGGATTATTTTCTAGTGTTACCCACATACCTACTGTTAATTCCCTATATACTTTAATCCAAAGCAGTTTCATTCATTCCATCTTTTCAAATCTCTCTCTCTCCCTCTGATTTTTCTTCCTTCTATCCATTATTCAAATCCATCAAAGCATATTCATTATTCTTTATATGCAAACATCTATTATATTATGTATATATCAATTAATATTCCACCCATTCATCCATTTCTTAATCCTTCCATCATTTGTTTATCTCTTAATCTTTCCATCTACCTTCAAACCATTATCCATTCATCTCAAACCATCCACACATTAACATTTCACTTAGCTACTCAATCTTTCAATTTTCTACCCATTGGTCATATAGTCATAAACTCTTCCTTTCATTGATAAATCTACCCGGAAATGTTATTAAACAATTTACCAATCCACACAGCTGGTGATTTTTAAATAAATATTACTACATGGTAACTCCTTCAGTGTAGGTGTATTGATGTACAAGTACAAGCTCCTGTGTATACATATGTGTTGATCTAGAGAATAGGTGTGGTGCACAGAAAATAGAACTGTGTTCTAATTCCAGGGTGCTGTATGTGGCATTAAACCCTACCTCCTCCACCTCCCCCCCCCCCACTCACTAAGTAATTTACCCAGTTATAGCTCTTTCCTATAGGAAACTCTCTGTAATCTCCCCACCATTATTCCTAGCCTGACTCCCTTTTCCTCTGCCTCAGTCTGGACTGCTTTTGAGGGTACTGAAGGAAAGGAATCTTAGTCTCCCCATTGAGCCTGCAAGGTCAAGAGGAACTTCTTCAAGAATAAAAATCTTTTATAGTCCACCCTATCCTTGCCTAGCACACAGCTGAGCACAGAGAGGGGAAGGGAGGCAGGAGCCTGACACTCAGATCCTGGCAGGTGTAGCTATGGCCAATGGAGAACGATGGAAGATTCTCCGACGTTTTTCTCTGACCATCCTGCGGGACTTTGGGATGGGAAAGCGGAGCATCGAGGAGCGGATCCAGGAGGAGGCTGGCTACCTGCTGGAGGAATTCCGGAAGACCAAGGGTATGGGGGTCACAGGGGAGGGCTACTAGGTGACTGGGTGCTTATGGAGAGTATAGTCATAGAAGATGGACCTTGGTGGAAAAAAACACTCAAATGAAGAGGATGGAGAATATTATAGATATGCTAAGCTATCAGCCATGTTCCATGGTAAAAATCAACATGGATGGCCCTCAGAGACCATTTGTCTAGAACCTTTTACCTCTGGATCTCACTGTGACTGTGTGCCCATGATATAATAATATGTAGATTAGGATGATATATGAGTTTGTGTATTTTTTGGGAGGCAGGATCAAATTTCATTATGTTTATAGATTTTTATTGTGGTGAATAACATCAAAATTACCATCTTCACCATTTTTAGTTGTACAATTCAGTAGGGTTAGGTATATTCATATTGTTGGAAAACAAATCTTTTAATTTTTTTTTCATCTTGCAAATCAAAAACTCTTTACCTATTTCATTATTCTTTTAAAAGAATTCCAATTCCCAACCAAAAATAGGGTCTGTAACCAAAGAAGTATAGAGAGAAAAGACCCAGGGGCTGAGAAATATGTAAAGAAAAATAGATAAGAGCTAGAAACAGAGATAGCTTTCTTTAAATCAGAGATTTTACATCTGGATTCCATGGATAATTTATAGGATCTTTACAAAGGCTTTGAAAAGACATGTACCCTCACAAGTTATTTGTCAAAATGTGCACTTGTAAATATGTACATATTTTTCTGAAGCAACTGTTTCCAAATCTACTTCCTTGACCTGCATTCCATTTTACAGACGGTGCAGCTGAGGTCTTGGGAAGGATTTCCTTCATAGCCTAAGTGGAATCCATGGTAGAGTTAGAGTCCAGGCATTCTTCTTCTCCTTCTCCTTCTCCTTCTCCTTCTCCTTCTCCTTCTCCTTCTCCTTCTCCTTCTTCTCCTCCTCCTCCTCCTCCTCCTCCTCCTCCTCCTCCTCCTTCTTCTCCTTCTTCCTTCTCCTTCTTCTCCTTCTTCCTTCTCCTTCCTTCTTTCTTCTTCTTCTTCTTCTTCTTCTTCTTCTTCTTCTTCTTCTTCTTCTTCTTCTTCTTCTTCTTCTTCTTCTCCTTCTCCTTCTCCTTCTCCTTCTCCTTCTCCTTCTTCTCCTTCTTCTTCTTCTTTTTTTGTTCTTTTCAGTGCTGGGAATCGAACCCAGGGACTCATGCCTGCTAGGGAAGCACTCTACTACTAAGCTGTACCACCAGTCCTTCTTTTTAAAATATGGCCCTTACCATTGTTTTCCTCCCAAATCTGTGACTCATTTTTTCTTTTTTAAGTCATAGATAGACACAGTACCCTTTTCTTAATTTTTTTTAGTTGTCAATGAACCTTTATTTTATTTATTTATATGTGGTGCTGAGAATCAAACCCAGGGCCTTGCACATACTAGGCAAGCACTCTACCACTGAGGTATGACCACAGCCCCAGATACAATACGTTTTTTAAAATTTATTTTTATATGGTTTTTAAGGATCACACCCAGTGCCTCACATGTGCTAGGCAAGCATTCTACCATTAAGTACAACCCCAGCCCCAAATTTATGACTCTTATCCACAACTGCATGTAAGCAACAATGTAACAAAGAAATAATTAAGCCTCACCAGCATTTATTGAGTGTTAAATCCATGTCGGGCACTATGCTAAGCATTTTGCATGGATCATAACATGGAATCTGCATGAACAAATGAGGTGGTCTTTAAGCCAGTTTCCAGATTGAGAAATCTAGACTCAAACCCCAAAATGAGCTAATTCACATATACTATTAAGCAGATACAAGACCCAAATCTACCAATGGATGATTCCACATCCCTGATTACTAATTTTCACCTCCAACATAGACAATTTCCATCACCAGGTGCCCCCATCGATCCCACCTTCTTCCTAAGCCGTACTGTTTCCAATGTCATCAGTTCGATTGTCTTTGGAAGCCGCTTTGACTATGAGGACAAGGAATTCCTAAACCTGCTGCGGATGATCAATGAGAGCTTCATAGAGATGAGCACTCCCTGGGCACAGGTACCACTGGTCACTTCTCTGCCCACTTCCAGTCTGAGTTCAATAGGCACTTGCCTGTACCTCACTTAATCTTCTCCACAGCCCTGGAAGACAACTATCAATATGCCCAAATCTCTAGGAATCCAAAAGCCACACCTGGTTCTCAGACCCAGCACTGCATTTTGAGCCCAGCTCCCTGAATCTAGACACAACCCGCCTGGTGACCAGTACCCACTCCTAAATAATCTTCTTTGCCTGTTCCCCGCAGCTCTATGAGATGTACTCAGGAATCATGCAATATTTGCCAGGAAGACACAAACACCTCTACTATATGATAGAGGATCTTAAGGACTTTGTTGCATCCAGAGTGAAGATCAACGAGGCATCCCTTGACCCCCACCATCCCCGAGACTTCATCGACTGCTTCCTCATCAAGATGCACCAGGTGCTTGCTTCCCTCCCCCAATACCCTTCTCTCATCTCCTCCGGGTATCTGCACCTTTAAGCCCCCTCTGCAGAGGTTGGGGCAAAAAGAGCAAGTACTCCCATGCTTCACTCTATCCATAGATGGGATACAGAAATTATGAAAGTAGAAACTCTCACAACCTTTAAACTTTTTTTTAAGTTGATGAAATAAAATTTATTTTTATTGACATGCATTAAATGCATATATTAGTGGGTGATCACTGGTGTGATATTTCCATACATCATAAGGCAGGCACTGATCAAATTCAACCTTTCTTTTCCACCCACTTCTTTCCAATCACTAGTAATGACAATTCTTCTTTCTGGTTGAGTTTTTAGCTTCTACATGTGAGAGAATATGTGGTATTTGTCTTTCTGTGTCTGGCTAATTTCATTTAACGTAATGACCTCTGGTTTTATCCATTTTGCTGCAGATGGAAGGATTTCCTTCTTCCTTGTGGATGACTAGCTTCCCATTGTATATGGATATGGTACCTTTTTTCTATCAAAAATAAGATTCAAATCCAGAAATTTTAGTAACAAGGAAACTGAAAATCTTACATTTTTCCAATCATATATGCCAGAGACTTAATGGTTGTAGAAAAGCAGAGTGAATCTTTAGCGTTTTGGAATTTGGGAAATTTAGAAACTTAGTTATTTTTAAAAATATATTTTTAGTTGTAGATGGACACAATGTTTTTCTTTTATTTATTTATTTTTATGTGGTGCCAGGGATCAAACCCAGTGCCTCACACATGCTAGGCAAGTACTCTACCACTGAGCCACAACTCTGGCTCCTAGAAGGTTAGTTTTTTTTAAAAATTGGAGCTCAATCTTTAATAATTTTAAAGTCTTAGAGATGTAAAAATTTGGAGGCTTAATACGTTGTATCATTGATTCTTAGAATTGTAGACATCTGTAAATTTCTATTTTTATCTTATAGAACCTTAGCCCTTGGATATGCAGATGCTAACACACAACAAGTGGGTAGGGGAAGAATAGAAATTCACTGGATTAGACAAAGGGGAATAAAGGGAAGTAGGGGTGGATAGGAAAAGAAAAGGCAGTGGAATGAATGGGACATAACTTTTCTATGTTCATATATGAATACATCACAATGAAACTCCACATCATATACAACCACAAGAATGGGATCCTAATTAGAATAAGTTATACTCCATGTATGTATAATGTGTCAAAAATATACTCTACTGTCATGCATATCTAAAAAGGACAAACAAAAAAGTAAATAGGAAAAAAAGAAACTTAGTACTTAGTAGTTTAAAATTATAAACTCTAATATTTATAATTATAAACTTCAAATCTTACAAGGCACTGCTCCCTTCTCCTCTCTCCTTCTCTGTCCACTCCAGCCGCAGTGCCCTCTGCTCTGTTCTTCCTCTAATACACCAGGATCAGGACCTCAGCTCCTGCCTCAGGATCTTTGCTCTGGTTGTTTCTTCTCCCAGCTTGGCTTACCCATCTATTGCCTTTTCAAAAATGCCTACACTATTCACAGGGAGAAAATAAAGACTTAAGATGGTAGCTATTTATTATCTCCTCCCTTTCAGGAAAAAAATGATCCCCACACAGAATTCAACCTCAAGAATTTGGTTCTTACCACGCTCAACCTCTTCTTTGCGGGCACAGAAACAGTGAGCTCCACACTACGCTATGGATTTTTGCTGCTAATGAAGCATCCTGAAGTGGAAGGTGAGTGTCCTCCCGGAATGGCCCATCCTATCTGGCACCTCCTGGTCCTACCAGGACATAATCTTGAAAATTTAGGGTTCCACAACCTTAGATAACTCTTCACCCTTCAGAACGCCAGGACATGGGATCTTGAAATCTCTGGTTGGGGGGCCACTAACCCAGCCTTCAACTTGGTGTCTGTTGTAAGAGGCAGCTTCAAACCACATACATGTGTTACCTTAAAGTCCTGGAGTTCAGAAGTTCAGAGAGGTTTGACGAGGCTGAAACCAAGGGGGAGCCTTTTCCAGCATTAACAGCTTCCTCTTTTGTATTTCTGGGTTCCTGGCTCTTTCTTGCTGCTTCAAGGCTAGTAGTGCAGATCTCTCCTTGCCTCCTCAGCTGCCACGTCCCCTTTTCCTACTCTGGTCCTCCAGCCTCTCTTATAACAGACACACGTGATTGATTATACTAGGGCCCTTCTGGATGATCCAGGCTAATCTCTCCCTCTCGAGATCCTTTATTTAATGGCATCTGTGACACCTCTTTTGTCCTTTTGTTGTCCTTTATTACATAACTTTCACAGGCTTCTGGGATTAGGAGGTATAGACGTCTTTGATGACCACAATGGAGCTGAAGGTATTGCCAAAATCAAATAGAATCCATCTTCATTCGGCTACAGTCTGGTCTGGTTGGTAACTCTAGTCATGAGAAATTTGTTTGTCACTTACAAAAAAAAAAGTCTCCAATTTGGACACTCTTTCTAGTGTGGCAGTTTGAACCAAGCCAAAGCCTTTTTTTTTTTTTGGTTAAAAGGCTGTGTGTGGAAGCCCAGCCGGAAGCAGGATATTGGCCTGCTCATCTGTCTTCCTTGGCTCATTGGTGTTTCCACGTCCAGGTCAAATGCTCCAGCTAGCATCCAGGCTGGAGGCCTGTGCCTCCCAGGGTCTGATGGGCATTTCTTGAGTACCACTGATGTGTCGGTTGTCAAGTGTGGATGATGGCCTTCACCTCAGAGCTCATTTGCTGGAGATTCTTAACTTCGTGGCATTCGCAAACAGAAGCTCCTCCTGCCCTCCCTGTCTTATTTTCTGCCTTCTTCCAGACAAGATCCATAAAGAGATTAACCAGGTGATTGGCCCCCACCGGATGCCACGTGTGGAAGACAGGGTCAAGATGCCTTACACAGATGCTGTCATCCACGAGATCCAAAGACTGATAGACATTGTGCCCATGGGTGTCCCCCACAATGTCATCCAGGACACTCATTTCCGAGGCTACTTTCTGCCCAAGGTTTGGTCACACTCTCACTGTTTCATTCTCCATGGCACCCTTCTCTCCACGTGGTCCTCCCTTCCATGGATTAACCAGGCCTGACCCTGCTTAGCTTCCAAAATCAGATGAGGTGTGGTGGGTGCAGGCTAGTATGGCTGCAGACTCTTGGTTCACCACCCCCTGTCCAATACTGATTTCTTCTAATTGCTCCCCTCTTCACCCCAGGGCACAGATGTCTTTCCTGTGATTGGCTCAGTCCTCAAAGACCCCAAATACTTCCGCTACCCAGATGCCTTCTATCCTGAACACTTCCTGGATGAACAGGGACGCTTCAAGAAGAACGAGGCCTTCGTGCCTTTCTCCTCTGGTAGGTTTCAATGTATGGGTTTCTCCAGGGACATTTTAGAACCTTTTCTTGAAGCCCAAGTCAGAGTGGAAGCTGAAGACTATGTACTGAAACTCTCAAATCCTAAAATTCCTGAATCAGAGAATATTAAAACCACTGGCTCTCATGTTTAGAAAAAAAAATGTTAGAGTAGAGCAACAAAATTTTCCTATTAAGAACCAAATATAAAATATTTTAGTTTTTCCCAGCCTTGTGATCCTTGTCTGAACTACTCACCCTTGCTATTGTACTATGGAAGTGACCATCAACAACACTGAAACAAATGAGCATATGTGTGAGCCTATGAAATTTTATTTATGGACACTGAAATTTGAATTTCATACTTTTGAAAAATCTTTGAGGAACTGAAATGAAGAGAAGTTTGAAATTCTTGGGTCATTTAGAAACTTTCCATTGGAATCAATGGAATCTGAGGCAGAGAGAAGTAGCTGCCAGTGTTGAGCCCTTCTAAGAAGCAAGTCCTAGCTGAGCATGGACAGGAGGAGCCATTGAGTCTTGCTAATGACCCTATAAAGTGGACACAGTCATGACTCTTGAGATGCTGATGAGGCAGCTGAGGCCCACTGGGGTGATCAGGCCAGATGCCTCCCAGGCCCTCAGTACCTAGCAGATATGACCTGACCTCCCACCCTGTTCTGTGCCTGCAGGAAAACGCATCTGCCTGGGGGAGGCCCTGGCCCGCATGGAACTCTTCCTCTACTTCACCTCCATCCTTCAGAACTTCTCTTTACGTTCACTGGTCCCCGTGGCAGACATTGACATCACTCCCAGGATGTCAGGCTTCGGCAACATCCCCCCAACTTACAAGCTGTGCCTTGTGGCCCACTGAGCGCCCCTTACTGGCCAGGCAAGACCAGTCTGAGAGCTGAGCTCTTCTTCTTGCTCCCGGACACACCCACCCTCCTCATGTCTCCAAATTCTCCCCATAACCCTAAGAGAAGGCACTCTCACTACTGTGATGGGACCACAGGTCAGAGGATGACATCCAAAACCACACAGCTGTATGTCTTTGTTTTAGAAAAGCTACAAAGTGCCCAACATCTGGCACAAGCCCATAGGTTTAAGTTCACAGTTTCCTCTGCCTTGTTTCTGGCTGCAGCAAACTTCTGTAGATTCTGTCTTTATGTTGTTCCCTTGCGTGAGCCCTGATAGTGATCATAATATAGTTCACAATCTTTTCTGGTTTATTTTGATCTGCATTCCCCCCAATAAAATCAACACAGAGCTCAAGACTGTTACATATAGGAAATTTATTGTGCATTGTGTGAAACAGTATATAAAGTACAGAAAACCACCTGAAGTGAGCTTTTGGACTTCCTCATCACTGGTCATCTTCTCTGACAGCCCCATCTCCAGGGACTCCTCACTTGTTGGGCCACCACATGAGACATTCTTGCCTCGAGCATCTTGAGTGGCATTACTCTCCCCACCATAACTTTTTTGCCATCCTCACTCTCCTGATTGCTCTGATCAAACACCAAATTCTGCACACTACCCATTCCATTTTGAAGGTAGTTCAGTTGTTCATAGCCTATTATTCCATTTCTAAACTCCTGATGAGTTATTTTATTTATTCAACCAAAACATATCAAATATCCAACATGTGCTGGCACACCCTTCATGGACTTAGGATCTTTCAGTGAAAAATAACTGATAAAACTCTAGCCCTCATGGAGCTTAGGTGCTAGTGCAAAAGGTTGACAATGAAGCATAAAATTTGATGATTTTAAATAGTAAAGGTTGCTATGTGTTGGAACATAATTGGTCGGCTTACAAAATCAATGAGAATTCTGGAAAAACGGACTATGAACAGAAATAGGAAAAAATGAAGCTCTGATAGAACCATCCAGTAGGGGATGCTGCCACCTCATTCAGCCCCAGTCATGAACACCACAGCCCAAGACTAATGAATGACCTCTGCTGCTGCTGTAGACAACTTCTTGTTTGTGTCTGTGTTTTTGTGTCACACCCTCAATGTTCTAGGCAGGATAATTCAATTAGCCACATTTTAAAGACTGGGGGCACAGGATGTGGTGAGGATGAGTAAATAGTTCTCTGAGTTGTGATGGGGGAGCAAGGACTTGCCTTTGATCAGGGATATCATAATAGACATGCTTACAAAACCAGAAGGGAGTTTTTTAATTTTTAATTTGTTTTAATTAGTTATACAAGAATGCATTTATGCACTTTGATATATCATACATAACTGGGGTATAATTTCTCATTTTTATGATGTATAATAAACACTAAATGCCCTTCTGCACATTATGTGGATAGGGCCCCCTGGGAAGCAGAGGTTTAGTTCCAGGCAGGAGTGCATCGTTTTGTGGGACTGGGGTTGAAAGCATGTGAAGGAAAAAGAGGAAGGAAGGAGAAGCGTTCAGGGAAAGTCTCCAGACCAAAGTGCAGATGTGACAACTGTGGACAGGAATGCAGAGAAGGCAGAGCTGGGCAGGGAGGGACCCAGACCACCATGCTGAGACAGCGGATTCCCCAGTCATCTCAGAAGTACCTCTCAAGTGAAGACTGCTGTTAGGAGTGTCTAGGATTGGGCAGAACGGGCTGTGACCGACACCTTGGCTTATGCTCAGTTCTGTCCAAGCTGCCTTAGAAGAACCCAAATCTGCTCCAAGCTCAGTGGGTCCTGAAGATGCTGCAGCTGGGGGCTCACATGCTCCTTGCTGCTGAATGGCAAATTCTTTTTCCTGCATCGCTGCTGCTGTTTCTTCTCCTCCTCCTCCTGTTCTTTTTTTGGTGCTGAGGATTGAACCCAAGGTTATACTACCACTGAGTTACATTCCAAGCCCCCCTAATTTAAAAATATTCTTTTGTTCAAACATTTTTTATCTTTTGTGGTGCAGGAGATGAACTCAGGGGCCCTGTACGTGCTAGACAAGTGTTCTACCACTGAGTGACTCCCCCAGCCCCCACCAGACCTTTTAATTTTTTTATTTTGAGCCATGCTTAGGGCTTCACTAAGTTGCTAAGACTTTTCCTCAAACTTGTGATATTCCTGCCTCAGCCTCTGGAGTTGCTGGGATCACAGGTGAGCACCAACATGCCTGGCAAATGGCAAGTTCTTGAATGAAACTCCAAATGGTGCATCTCCACATCTGTGGCAGACACAGATGTACAAAAGCTGTCATCAAACACTAGACGCAGTCCCTGACCACAAGGACGTCACAGTTCAGGACATTAGTTTCTTGTATGAGGGACATTCAGTAAGAAGTACATCATTTAATCTAACAAATAGCAAAAGCCAATTTACATAACAGAAATAATACAGAGGCAGAAAGAAACCCCACAGATGATTTTGATGATTGTACAAATTGATCGTTGAACATCGTTTTTCTTCAGCAGGATGCTGATGGGATTGTCAGATATCAAAGAGGTGGAAGTGTTGCCCTGAGGGATGGCTCCTCTATACAGGTAAATTTTGTTCCTCACAGTGTTGTCCAGGAGACCTGGAGGTTCTAATTGTGGAGAATGTGAAGGGCTCTCTCTGGCCCTGTCCTTAGCACCCTCCTGTCAGTTCGCTGGCACTTGGATATCACAGTTTGTCATGCTGCTTCCCCATGAGACAGATTGAGCCTTTCTTTTTGAACTTCTGTAAATTTAAGGTGCCACACTATGGTTTCGTGTTTCAGTCTTTGATTACCGAGGACTGGACTTTGTGTGTTTATGTATGTGCTGCATTTGAACCTTAATAACCTGTGAATTAACTCCTTGTCCATGTGGTTCCTCTACTGTCAGGATATCTCTCACTGACTCTAAGTTGTTTCACAGTTAGGAAAGTATCTCATTTTGGGGGGGGCAAGGATTGAACCCCAGGGGCACTCAACCACTGAGCCACATCCCCATCCCTTTTTATATTTTATTTTGAGACAGGGTCTAGCTAAGTTGCTCAGGGCCTCACTCAGTTGCTGAGGCTGGCTTTGAACTTGGAATCCTCCTGCATCAGCCTCCCAAACTGCTGGGATTACAGGCACGTGTCACTTTACCTAGCTGGTAATCCCACTTCTGATGGTGGTTAACAGGATTCTACCTAATGCTCTTGCTCTTGAATTTTCATGTTTCTAAAAGTTATTTCTCCTGAAGTAAAATGACTTCTAATTTTTCTTTTCTTTTTTAATGAACTATCTCTAGTTTTAGAAAGGCTTTTTCTTCTGTGCATGTGTTCATCTCACCATTCCATTAGGGCATACAAACGTCAAAATTATGAGGACATAATTTTGTCCTCATAATGTTCTTTCCAACGACACTTGAATTCGGGAATTCAGTACAAGGTAAATGATGAGCATGCCCAACAATAGAGGTGTGGTGGATCCTACCGAATGGGTTATGCTGATCATTGAAAAGTCAAAATTCAGCCACATAATGTTATGTCATATATATAATTAAAATAGTAATAAATGAAAAATTACATTTTAAATTCTGCTGAAATATGTATTACAAAACTATCTTCTGGAAATTCTTTGCAAACATGATCAGTGACTCCATTTTTCTTGCAAGGTATTAGATAATTAATTAGTATTATTCTTTAAAAAAGAGAAAAAGTCAGACTCCTTGAAAGACATTAACAATAATGCTTTAACAAAATCTCTCATTTCCTGTAAATACCAGACTGAGAAAAAACCAGATATCACTCCCACAGGTTTCTTCTTTCTCTCCATTGGGTTTTCCCTGTGAGTGAGCATCTGAGGTGATGTAGGTCCCTCCCATTGCAGGTGAGAAGACCACCTGCTGCTCTGCCAAGAGTTCTCTTTAACCACTGAAGTAATGGTTTTAATGACACCAGTCATAACCTCTTCTTCCCATTCTTGGAGGGAAGAGTGTGAAACACAGCTGGTACTTCTTTCCCTGGCTCTGCGTGTCCATTGTGATAATGCCTAGTTACATGGGGCAAATGACTGCTGGTGGTGTGTTTAGTAGGACTTGGGAACTTTTAAATTCTATTTAGTTTTAATCTATTTAAATTGAAGCACTGATATTTGATTCATTTATTAAGACAAATATTTGGGACAATTAAATATTTGATAAGAGAGTTTAATTTTCCAGTGGTAAATTTTATTACATCTAAATGCAGATCAAGAATCTCAAGAAAGAGTAGAGTATATAGGTCAACATATCCCATATATGTAAAATACTCACCATATTTCGAAGACATACTGAGAAAAAGGGTTGTAAAATCTCAATAATAAGAAAACAATTAAAAAGCAATGAGTATTTTAAATACAATCAGTCAATAAATATATGAAAAAATGTTCAACATCTCTAGCAACTAGAGAAATGCAAATCAAAACTACTCTAAGATACCATCTCACTCCAGTCAGAATGGCAATCATAATAATACAGGCAACAATCAATGTTGGTGAGTATGTGGTGAAAAAGGTACACTCATACTTTGCTGGATTGCAAATTGGTGCAACCACTGTGGAAAGCAGTATGGAGATTCCTCAGAAAACTTGGAAAGGAATCACCATTTGATGCAGCTATCCCACTCCTCATTTATAACCAAAGGACTTAAAATCAGCATACTAAAGTGATGCAGCCACATCAATGTTCATAGCAGCTGAATTCACACTAGCTAAACTATGGAACCAACCTAGGTGCCCTTCAGTAGACGTATGGATAAAGAAAATGTGGTGTATACATTCAACGGACCATTACTGAGCTTTAAAGAAGAATAAAATCATGGCATTTGCTGGTAAATGGATGGAGTTGGAGAATATCATGCTAAGCAAAATAAGCCAATCCCAAAGAACCAAAGTCTGAATGTTTTCTCTGATATGCTGCTGCCGATCCACAATAAGTGGGTAGGGTGCTAGGGAAGAATAGAGTTTCTTTAGATTAGGTAGAGAGAAGTGAAGGGAGGGGTGGGGCTGTGGGGATAGGAAGGATAGAGGAAACAGATATTATTACCTTACGTACATATAAGACTACATGATCAATGTGGTTCTACAATATGTGCAATCAGAAGAATAAGAAATTAAACCCCATTTATGTATATCAAAGTGCATAAATGCATTCTATTGTCATGTATAAGTAATTAAAATAAAAAATTATAAAGTAACAACAACAACAACAAAAAAGCCAATGTAGCTTTTTAAATTGGTAAATAAGGCTGGTCCAAATGCAGTGGTGTTTATGACTAATTAAATTGGCAAATAATTTTTACACCAAAGACTCTTCATCAAAGAA